TGCGTTATCAGTTATCACAGTGACTTTAACACAAAATAATCTACTGGTATATTTTTAACAATAAACGTTCATCACATTGACAATACCACCACAACAGCCACCGGCAACAGCCCGATCGCGTACGTGCGCTACTATGCGTTATCATATTACCGTTAACACTTGTACATTACCGCGAGCAGTTCTGCCCTAAACTGATATCACTTATCACATTACTGTTAACAAATAATAATACGAGTGCACATGTATAACATGGTATCCTCATATAATTGTGCAATACACTACCTTTATTATATATATATATATATATATAAATATATATATATATATATATATATATACATGTAAATGCTAAACACATTATTTACCTAATCCCCACTACCAAACACATTATACATAACCCCCCACTACATACCATACATGGTTTAACAATTAATACTCGATCGTGTGAATATTCAGTCTCAGTTTTGATTTAACAGCGTCAAGTTGTAAGTCTCAGTATATTGCTATAACAGTGTTAATATGGCAGGACCAATAAGTGAAATGAAACGGGTATACAATTATGTTGCACCTACATCTCCACATGAACTCATGGATTGCTCTAATTTTACAATAGACTTTAAAAATCGCAAATTCTTGAACATCGGATTCGATCCAAAAGATCAGTTCAATATCGTTTTGCAAATAATTACACCGTCACGGTATGTAAAAATTTCATCAGACTTCTTGAAACGAATTTATTCAGTCATGGGCCATGTTTTGTCACACGTTCTCGATCCTGTTGTAAAATATAAAAAAATTATTTTTTTGGAAGATGAAGTCGCTTTACTTACAAGTATGGTGTATAAAGGAGAGCATGTGTTGGTTATAGAGTCAAAAACAACAAACGGATGTAGAATCATATTAAGTCGTAGAGATCTTATGACAATTCAAGATTTAGAGTGCGCCATTTTTGAAACAATTTCAAGAAAAAACGATATCGTAAAACCTATTATTTTAAATCAACTCGAACAAATATCCGAATACTTTAATACTGATTTTAATATTGATAAATCTGTGACACTGGAAGAAGTAAAAACAATAATCAAAGGAATTGATATCGAGTTAATCGCAATGCATGTACCGAAGCACAAACATAGTTTTATAAGCCAGATCAAATTATTCGCAACTGAACAGCTAGCTATCAATTGGATGACGAAGAATTTGCCAAAAGTAAGAATATATATATATATATTAAAAAAAATTATTTAACATATGCATTCAATTAGGCTGTGGATGAAAATGATGATGATGAACTGATAAAATTTCTCCCGCCTACCCAGAGGAGGCCTGAAGCAAACGATTTAAAGGTAATAATATATAACTTTTTTTTATTATGATTACTTATTTTCTATTTATTTTAGTATTATACGGAGACCTCTGACGTGGAAATGCTGCAACCATCCCCACCAAGATACTCAAGTATGTCTCCATTAATGACATATAACGAAGACGATTTATCACAGTCACGAGTAATTTAAAATTAAAATAATAAAATATTTCAGTATTAAATGTAATTTAATTTTTAGGCAGCTGACGAGGAGAGAAGGTTCAAGGAAATAACCCATTCGATGAATCCTGCTAAACTTCGGAAAACTAAACCAAAGGTAATATACATAAAAATATAATTTGTATGATGAATAATCATTCATTTTTTATAGGATTTTGATGAGAACGACGGTCCGACATATTTTAACAGACGGCCATCATCCCCACCATCTCTGTTCAACTGCAAGTCAGCAAAACCATCTACTCAGTGTATTACACCATTATTTTATTAATAATGATAATAAATATTCTATATATCATAACTTGTTTTATTTTCTTATACATATCCCCACCATGTAACTTACTGTAGAGTGGGGATTCACCCCTACTCTTAACGAGCGCTCGGTGGCACTGTTTAAAAGGGCGACACACACTTATTTCAATACAGCCGTGAGTCTTCCGTCAAACGAGTCGTGTGCGTACCCGATTGCTAACTTATTTCGAGACAGTTTTGAACGTATCTAACAAAAATGGCTAATAATCTGATCGATTGTACTACATTCTTTATTGATAGCAATATTTTTATAAATATAGGATTAGATCCTGATTTTTTGTTAAATTGCGTTATATGCATCTCAAGTAACTCGCAGTGTGTTAAAATGAGTGTTGAAGTCTATAAATTACTAATTCATATAGCTTTTAACTACATAAATTTTCCACAACCATCTCATTTAATGCTGAAGGAGCTTATATTGGCCGGAATTGTTAAATACAACGGTGACAACGTTCTCTCGATAAAGTGTTTGCAACATGATCAACACGTACAACTAACTAAAGCAAATGTTTCAAGGATCTTACAATTAAGTGATGCCGTGGAAGAAGTTATTCAGATGAAAAATATATATACACGGCCTAGTGTATTAGGTCAGTCCTGTGATATTTCAATGTATCTTGGAAAGGAAATGCCGTTACCCAAAGACACAAAAATAAGCGAAGCTGAAGATTATTTATACCGCATCGATGTCAAAGAATTGAAAAAACAACTTAAGTTAACTGGTCGTTGTTTCGTAGCAGATTTGAAAATTAAAGCAGTCAAACAATTGACAAGGGGATGGTTAGCTTCTTCGATCGAAATTGAGGTAATACGATTTTATTTTTACATATTATTTTATACTAAAGAAAACAAATTTTTTTTAGTCTGAAGTAACCAGACCGAGGACGAGGGCATTCGTAGCACGTAAAGCAGCCCGCACATTAATTTTTCGTTAAGAATGTGATATTTTATTGTAATATGTAATTTTTATATTGCTGTCAATAATTTATATTTAAAAACGCGGACCAATAATATAATATTTTATTATGTAATTTTTATATTGCTGTCAATAATTTATATTTAAAAACGAGGACCAATAATATAATATTTTATTATGTAATTTTCATATTTTTGTCAATTATTTAAAAACGCGAACCATTAATGTAATATTTTATTGTAATATGATATTTTATTACTTATATATATATATATAATAAAAAAAACAACGTGATATTTAAAAAAAGTATTTTTATTTTACAAATTATTTACAATTTCCTTACATCACCATTAAATGGACTATAAGTTATAATTTGATCGTGTAAGATGAGGCAAATCATGATTTATATACTACGCCACCGCCACCCAACAACGGTTTACATAATATTTTAAATATCCAAAAACACGCTGTGCAATGTGTGAGAGGGTGTGACAAGGGAGATAGATGCATGCACGCTGTTTCATTACAAACTGCAGTTCCCGGGACGGTGGACGACGACTTTGAAAAATAAAAGAAAATGCTCTTATGCGTTCGATGAGTGGTCCATATTATATGAGCTATGAGTACATATTTTTAATATGCACTATACCAATATACAACGCGTATTATTATCAAACAATCATAATAATATATAGTAGGTAGGCACCTATAGTACGTAATTTATTTACACATGTCTATTCATACCGTGGTTCAAAAAATTAATGCAAAAAAAAAAAAAAAAAGCATATAGTAATATATAACCACAACAAAAACGCACTTTACAAAATGTGCCTAACTTACCAGTATTATTACGTATCTCATTCTCGTAAGTGTTCAGATTGAAAAAGTTGTGATATCATTTGTGGTGCTAAGTAAAATATTCGATTTACTTGGAGGTGTCTATAGTGCATAATGCCATACTGAATATGATACCTATGAAGAATAAAACAAAATTAAGTTGAATAGTCGTTATATAACAGTATGTAAGGCAATTTAAAGTAGGTACTTGAAGTATTGATAAATTGGTTTAAACTATAAGCGTGTACAGACTTTAGTCGCAGGGTTTGTGGCTGATATAGTGATATGTTATAAAATGAATGCTCATAAGTCATAATACTGTTTTTTTTTATTAAGCTAAGACATTCCTAGCCTAAGGCTATCTATATCTATTATCTAGGGATATTTGACAATATACTTATTAGTTTTAACAGGTATTAACATGATAATTAAAAATATTTAAATATATGAGAGTGTTTATGCTGAACCATACCCTATCGCTTATATTATAATAAATCATATGATAGGTGGGTTGGTACAGATTATATCTTATATGCATCACTTAACACTCATTTTACACAAAATACTAGGAATTTATTTTTAAGTTTTTCGACTAGATACATGAATATTTTTATACACTATTGTATTTACTTCATAAATAATGTAAAGCACATGTATATTACCATCACAAGGAAATAAAAGGATGTTACAATTGTCAAGCCCTGAAATTGCTGTATTAGGACGTGACTCTTCTTTAAGCCATTTTGATTTCCATATTGAAAATTCAGCTTTGAAAACAGTGGGCTCTGTCAATATCTGAAAATAAAACTGTACACAATCGTTTATTTCTTCACTAGTGGCATATATACATTTACTCGGAATAATTTGTTGTAGTGAACTTATTAAAGACTTGTGTTTTTGAAACCTATCAGAAAGCTGTATTCTTATATGGTCAAGAAATGGCAAAAAAATATTCAGTTTGTAATAGTCTTCAGAGCTATTAGCGGGCACATTGTTACGGTGTGTTTGTCTATTAGCAAAACCAGGAAAATTTATTTCTTCTTTTTTTTTATTCAGCATAGTCGCAGCAACAGAAAACATGTCTGAAAAATGTATATTGTTATTTTCTCACATTTCGTCCAAAACTACTAACACATTATCTACATGATTACATGCTTCGACTAAATCAGCATTTATTGTCTGTAATTGTTTACACAAGGTCAACGTATAGGAAAAAATATTTTCAATTATTATGAGAGGTATAACAAATTTAGCGTCTTTAATTGTACTTAATAACTGACAAGACTTTTGAGCTGTTTCTTTATTTATTGAAGATTCTAATTTTTCTAATGCAACATTAATGGCTGGATATAGTTCTTTGAACCGCAAGACACTTTCATGCTTGTAAACTCAACGTGTTTCACATAATGCCACTAATGTGCTATGTCTTGTCTGTGGAAGAGTTTCAATGATAGTTGTTCTCAATACTTCACTTCGTTGAGCAGAAGAGCGAAAAAATGTTCCGACGGTTTGAATTATGCTAATGCAGTTTCTTATTGAGGGCAATGAGCTGGCGTTTGCCAACGCAAGATTCAGCGAATGAGCACTGCAGTGTACATAAAGAGCCATGGGAAAGTCTTTTTTTATGTATTCTTGAGCACCATGTAAATAACCACTCATGGCAGAAGCGCCGTCGTAGCCTTGACCAACTAGAAAGTGGCAATTAATACTGTTATTTTGCAAACTACTCATTATTAATGTTGCTAGTCCTTTTCCAGTAAGATCAACAGCTGGTGTAAATTCTAGAAAGTCTTCACGAATTTTTTTATCTTCTTTGTCATAATAACGTAAGCATACAGACATTTGCTCAATTCTTCCAATGTCTGTAGTTTCGTCCGCTAACACAGAAAAGCACTCGGCAGTATTAACTCTTTGGATTATTTTTGACTTAATTATATTGCCACAAATAGAAATAATCTCATTTTGAATGCCAGGACTAGTATACAACGAATTTTTTGGACCATTCTTTAAATGTTCTTCTAGAATAGTGTCGCCCGAATCTACACGAAACCGTAAAAGTGCTCTGAAATTTCCATCATTAAAAGAATTTATGTTCATTACATTTCCAAAATCGTTTGAACCTCGAAGAGCAATTTCTTGCTTACTACAAAGAATTATTGTTTTAATAACAGAAAGTAAAATTTTTCTATTTTGTTCAATTTGTCTAGAACGTTCAATACTAAGTTGTTCAGTTATATTTTTAGATCTTCCTTCATTCACTTTTAAAAAACTATCAGATTTTTCAACACACAATTTGTGATATGATGTACTAGCATGTAATTGAAAATCTTGCAGAGAATTTTTCCAATTAGCATACTCCTTAGAAACAAGTGCACCTAATTGCTGATGACCACCTTTACCTCCCTTTTCTCGAGCAAACAAAACACATGGTCTACAAAATGCTCCTTCGAAAATCTGTGAATAACTTAACCATGGAAATCGTTTTATCCAAGATAATTGAAATCGTAAATTTCTTTTGGTTTTAACAGGAAAAATATACGTGGAATGGGGTACCCATGGAGTTTTTAAAAGTTCTTCTTTTTTTAAATCATCAATTTCTAAATTATGCACATAATTACCAATATCATTTACCGCAGCCCTAAGTGTCTTATCAGAATCATTAGACATACTATTATTAGAATTAGACGTCAAAGAAAGGTTGTGATTATCAGTATAATGTTTGCTAGTTGAAGGTAGTTCTGATAAGTTAGCTTGGTTAATTGATACATTTTCAGAAGTAGGATTGTCTGTTTTATTTCTTTTTGTTTGGGTAAATGCTTTTATGTTCAACTGTCGTTTCATTTTCAACGTAAATTCTCAGTTTATAAATTCTAAAAAAAAATATTTTATCAACTATTTAAAAAAAAAAATGAGATTTTCTTTACAGAGTGAAGTATATATTAAGTATATTACAGTTATAAATTAAACGATAAACGATAGTAATAAAGTATAGTTAAATAGGTACTTAAATTAATATCGAAAACCGATATCAAATTGTCCAATATCTATAATTACCCAATATAAAACTGGTACAAAATAAACAAGCCATAATTTTATTCTTATAGCATTAAACTAAAATTATTAAATAAAAATTACTTACTAATTTGGAATCAGTACGGTTTTTGAAGTTCCTTGTACGGCAATGTTAGGAGTCCAAATGAAAAAAAGATTCGCTATCGTAAGGTTTACCCGAGTTTAAAGTAAAAATTATCGATGTCTTATGATAAGGAACACTAACGAAATTCAAAGAAAACTAAAAATAACCAAATTATTTTTTTTCGTGTTATCGACGCTTACAAAATGTATTGACACTACACTGTCGTGTCTCGCAACATTCATTTCGGCGTACAGATTAACAGACATTTATGAGCAGATAAGCAGAGGATAACAATAATGTCACATATTGACGTATTTATACTGTACATATTTATACCACAAAAAATCTAATTTTTATGTTCGATGAAATTTCGGGGGGGGGGTTGAACCCGGAGAACCCCCCCCTGAATACGGCCGTGGTTGGTACAGATTATATCTTATATGCATCACTTAACACTCATTTTACACAAAATACTAGGAATTTATTTTTAAGTTTTTCGACTAGATACATGAATATTTTTATACACTATTGTATTTACTTCATAAATAATGTAAAGCACATGTATATTACCATCACAAGTTAGGATATATCTTACCATATTGTATAGTAGATATAAAATAATAAATTAATCATAGCTTGATTTTATATAGGTATATTATATTAATTTGTATATTGAATATTCATACTATTACATTTCTATAGTCGTTGTAAATATCACCATTTCGATCGTAAATATCAACATACTGATAGTAAATATAAACATATTTACACTCCAATACATATAGACACTATACAGATCTTAATAAAACTATATTAATAAGACGATACTTAAATATTAAAAAACTATACAAAAATGTATAATTTCAACAGTCTGCAATGCTGATATAAATAATATATCTAGCTTTTATTGTATTCGACTTGACTCTAATTAAATATTAATTGAAGGGTGTACAGTTTTGTATAATAATATCATATTTTCAATGAAAATATATACAAACTTCATATTCATATTAAAAATCAGTAGGTTTCAAATAAAAATCATATTAGATGTAACCATATTATGATAAATATTATATTTTTTAGTTGTCATAAATATAATCATTTCGATCGTAAATATCAGCATATTAATCGTAAATATAAACATATTTTATGATAATTAAAAATATTTTTAAGTACTAAGCCACCGCCACCTCTCCACTTCACCGCCCAGCCCGCCACCACCGCCACCGCCAACAGCCCGATCGCGTACGTGCGCTACTATGCGTTATCATATATAACCGCGAGCAGTTCTGCCCTAAACTGATAATTAAAAATAATACATTTTGTAGCTATCAAATACACCGAGACGGGTCTATTATAGCAATTTATTGAGCCCAGAGGAAACAGTTGACATAAAATTATGTTAAGTTCTAAAAAACATTTCTTTACACAGCATGTATATGATGACCCTACCTTACTACGTTATATACGATAATTTAAAAAATGTGACATTTGTGGGCATCGCTTGCAGGTATGGACTAGTATGGACGAGTTAGTAAAAATCCATGGTTCTAGATATTATGAAGATGTATTAGGTACAGCAGAATGTAGGGAAGTAGCTGTTAAAATATTTAATATAGTACAAAATTTGTAGATAAATTAACGATGTATATACAGGTACTAATAAACGCTTCTTTACAACTATTCACCGCGTTATTTTTTTTCCCTTACGTATAACATTCTTCTTTCTACAATATTTGCACCTATTTATAATATATACAGGTATATATATATATTTTATACACCACCTTCATATAGCTAACTATATCTCGTTAAACCATATGATGTACACCGCACAACTGATACTACATGCTACAAGTTTGTTGAGCAGAGGCTGGAAATCTTCCTCCGCATACAACTATATATATATAGTGATAATGTAAAAATTTGCCTGATTACGATAGTTCATAGACAATGCTCTTCATAGTTATAGAAATATACTTTTTCTCATCAAAAACATATATTACGAACTAGAATTAGTTGTACTCCAAACGTCGTATCACTAGCTCATAACACGTAATAATCAACGCGATACTTTGCATACTATTGTTTTATTAAATCAGTATGTACCGTAATTTGTACTAAAAAGGTATAGTGTTATTTCAAGATGTTTAATTTCGAAGTGGTATTTTTATATTTTTTTATAAATACATTAGGATTCGGTCGTCGCGGTCGTCCTCAAAATGAATTGGGTATTCCTTTGCTATTTCCGCCGTAAGTTTAATAATATTATTATTATTATTATTATTATTTTATTTTATCATATTTGGTGTTAAGTGTTGACGAGCAACCTGAAGAGGAGCAGGAACCTGCGGATTTAGATGACGTCTTTAGGCGATTAGACGGGCTTATTGGAGATCACATGTAAGAAAGTTCAATATTATATATATATATATTTTTTAAATTCAATATTTGGTGTTTAGACGTGATGAGCAAGTGCCACCGCCCGTTATAGATATGTTAGATCTATATACTGCGGAAGAGATGCCCGTGACCGAAGACGAAGACGAACAATCGACAGATGACGACCTATTTGTACAGTAAGTTTAATATTATTATTATTATTATTCTTTTCTAACATTAAAAATATTAGTTATAGTAGTGACAGCGACGAAGAAATGTCTGAAGTCTATTCACCTGTCGTAACATCAGATGAAGATTTATAAATAGTGTAAATAGGTTAATGTAAATATGTTAATAAATAAATAATTATCAATAGTTTTTTGTTATGAATTTCTATTTTACACAATATATAAATATAAAAATATAAATATAAAAAATATATATATAATATAAATTAAGTACTAGATTCAGTACAAACTTCTAACAGCAATTTGTCGTCATCTGCAAAGTCTTCACCCCAAATATATTTGTCTAATGCTTTAAGGCATACATCGTCATTTTCTTCACCTCCCCAAAAGTCGACTTCAACACGATCCTCAGATATAATATGCTTACCATCGCTTCTAGTCTACAACAACAAAAACAACAAAAACATAATATAACGTCAGAAAGGTAAGTGCTACAATATTATACAATATTATGTCATACTAACTTCGTCAACTGAAATGGTTTCCGGGCTTAACAAATTGCTGTAATATACCCGTCTCGGTGTATTTGATAGCTATAAAATTTATTATTTTTAATTATATGCAAATAATATATTATACTTAATTAAACTTACCATTTGATCAAACTCGCCATTATCTAAAAAGTCAATAAAGCCTGGCGAAATATCAGGTGTGTTTATATCAGATACCTGACTATCGTTGTTGTCTGACATTTTTTAAATAATATTTCACATCAACTGACAAACTAAGAGTGCACTGAGATTTATCATAAGTATTATGTTTCGAGAAAAATTAAAACAGCAATAAGCATTTTTTTCAAAACATATGTCACCCATAATATTTATAACACTATATAAAATCTCACCCACACACACACACACACACACACGCAATATTATGTTTAAGAGAAAAAAAAATGCATTTAAGCAAAAATCTTTGAAACGTGTATAAAAAAAAATTATTATTTGTCTCGTCCATTATCAGATGCGTTAGTAACGATCCGTCAGTCATTTGTGTCACAGGTTACTTCTATTTTGTGCATATTAAAAATGTTTAAGTGCGATCAGTGTAATTGTACTTTCTCGAGGAATGACTCTTTAAACAGACATTTAAAGTGTCATAATAATACCATTGAAGCTTTTAAGTGTATTATATGCAACACTGTTTTTAGCAGAAAGGATGCTCTCAGACGACACGAGAAAAGTATTCATGGTGAGTAAATTTATCGGCGGGAATAATTTTTTTTATCTACAACGATAAGCCAAGTACACGACGGTTAGGTACTCAGTATCACGGATTCGATCAAAATGACGCGACAGTTGTCTCTTTTGTTTACATGTTGCGGGCAGTACCGGGTGATAATCTTTTATCAATTTATTTAATAAACGTTATTCGAATACTAGTGTCATATAATAAAGACATGGTGAGCGTTTTAAGGGGTTTAGCTTATACAAACACATGTACATGGTTGTAGTATATAAGAAATATAGCGCATTTTAAATAATATATTATCGTTCCATTTTAGGTTTGTTAAACAGTAACGCACAGCCAGTTACAAGTACAGCAGCAACTACAAGTAAGAAAGAATTATATATTTATGTATAATTTAGTGTTTAATATTTTACATAATATGATATCACTTTTAAAGATGTTGATGGTGTAGCAGTATTAGATAAGACTGAAAAAAGTGGATCGCGTGAAAGTATATATATATATATATATAGTAAATATATCGTGTTTAATTAAAATGTTTTATTGTAGATGATAATAACGCGTTTAATGATAATTTAATGTATGAAAACAGCAGTGATGGCTATTGTATTGATGTGTTGGATAAGGTTGAACATAATGAGATGCGTAAAAGTATGTTATATTAAATAGATAGGTATATCTTGATTCACAAATAATTATTATTTTTTGTTTAGATATTGACAATATTACGTTTGAAGAAGACGACGATAGTTATTGTATTGATGTGTTAAATAAAGCAGAAAATAATGGATTATGTAAAAGTATTAAATATTAATATATGCATTTAATATGATAAATATATATTGATTTATTTTTTAGCTGATAACAATGAACCGGAAATTATTGAAATAGCCCCAAACATTTTCGTCGAGAATATACAAGCTGCATCTTCAAAACAAAGTACATAATATTTAATATAAATATATTTTATTTGTTATATAAAACTTATAAATTATTTAGGTAAACGTAAATATACTGAAAATTCTTTGCTTAATGTACAAAATAAACGTGCACGAATGAACGCAACAACAACATCATCGAAATTCGTCAAAACAAAGTCTGCGTTTAAGGGGCTTTGTACCGAATATTTCAAAAAAAAACATTGACAATATTAAAGACGTCCTAGAATTTTTAGAAATTTCAAAGCCTGAAATAGTTGAAATAATCGACGGTGCACTTCGTCAGTCGCCGATAAAATATAATATTAAACTGGAGGCTACATACATTAAACCGCACACCGAAATAAAAGAAAATCGCGCCTTTAAGACCAGGGCAAGGCCAATATTTAACGACTATAATATAAACGAAATGTTAGAAATAGATTTTAACACTATACTTAAAGAACAGGAAATAATGGCGCTTAAAGGCAGCGGATTTACATTAGATAGTATAGACGGTCTAATATTAAATATAAATCGACATACACCTTTAGGAGGCGCATCATATATGCCATTACCGGAATTCATCGAAAATAAAAAAGCAACCGTTAATGTGCAAAATAACGATAACAAGTGCTTTAAATATAGCATATTAGCGAAACATGTAAATCCCGTGCATGCCGAGAGAATAGGACGAAATTATACAGAAGTCGAACATATCTATGACTTTTCCAAAATAAATTTCCCCGTAACAATGAAAGATATCGACAAATTTGAAAAAATAAATAATGTATCGGTTAATGTATATAGCATAAAACAAGGCGATCCTACACATAAAAATAATGTAAAAAAATTTTTAGTTACGGCTGGGCATTGAGTCAATTTTTACCAAAGGATGGGTTTTCATGGTATGAAGGAGATCTAAGCGTTAAAAACATTTTAAAATTGTTGGAAAATTCAAACGATACGTCAGAGATTGGATATTCGTTAGAAGTCGACCTTGCATATCCTAAATCATTACATGACGTTCATAATGATTTACCTTACCTTCCAGAGAGGATAATCCCTCCTGGATCGAAAATAAAAAACTCGTGGCCAATTTGAACCCTAAAAAACACTACGTTGTGCATTACATGTCATTAAAACAAGCTCTGAAAGCGGGTTTTATATTGGAAAAGGTAACACTTTAGTTATTATAATATTTATTATAAAATGTAATGCTATTATAATTTAATAGGTACATAGAGTTTTTAAATTCAATCAATCAGCATGGCTCTCAAAGTATATTGAATTGAACACCAATATGAGGAAGAACGCAAGGAATGATTTCGAAAGAGAGTTCTTCAAGTTAATGAACAATGCAGTCTTTGGTAAGTTTATTTTTAAACTTTAAAACTTTCAAACTTTCAAAGTTTTGTTCTAATTCTCCAGGCAAGACGATGGAAAATGTTCGTAATAGATTAAAAATGCAATTGGTGTCTGATGATAAGACGTGTGCAAAATTAATCAACCGAAATACTTTAAGAGATATTACAATTTATAGTCAAAACCTGACGGCAATACATTTAGACATGGATGAATTGAAATTTGATAAGCCAATATATGTAGGGTTTTCGATTTTGGACATATCAAAGACGTTAATTTATGATTTTCACTACAACTATATGATTAAGATTTATGGTTCAAACATTGAATTGATGTATACGGATACAGGTACTACCTAAACTGTTTTTTATAATATTTATAATGTTTTCATGCTTGTATGCACTTTTTCAGATTCATTGATATATTACATAAAGACAGCAGATTTCTACGCTGATTTATTAAACAAGCCCAATCTTTTAAAACGGATGGATACTTCGAATTTACCGATCGACCATCCATGCTATTGTATTGAGAGGAAAAAGTTGCCTGGAACTTTTACTGATGAGGCAGAGGGTAAAGTTATTAGTGAATTTATAGCTTTAAAAGCTAAGTCATATTCTTTCAAGATTGTTGGTGAGAATGACATAATCAAAGCCAAAGGTATCCGACAACCTGTAGTGAAGTATCATATGACGTTTGAGGATCATAAAAAATGTTTGTTTTGGAGTGGTACACCGGATGATGAGGATAAAGCACGAAAATTAGCAGTTATGCAATCTAAACAGTTTAAATTAACAGGAATCACTGAAACATCAAATCAATATACACCATTTAGAGTTAATACATCGCTTAGATCTTATAAACATGAAATAAAAACTATCTCATCAGTAAAGTTTGCTCTTAACCGCAGTGATGATAAAAGGGTTGTGCTTGAGAATCAAATTAATACCTTGGCTCATGGCCACTTTCGTATAGAGTGAGTTAAACAAATAAAGAATAATTTTATTTTACTAATATTATTATATAATTTTTGTAGGGAAGCTAAAGAACTTGATCGTTTAGAAGCAGAGTTGGTCGAAATGAATGAGGATAGCGGATATTAAGTTTTATGTACAAATAATTGTATTTTTTCATATCAATTTTAATACCTATAGTAATACTATGTAAATATCTGTAAATATATTTTAAGTTAGTTTATTAATGTATTTTCATATCATTTTTTCTTATTAAATGATTAGGTTATATTATTATTTGATCATTTTTATATCATTTTCCTGTTTAAATGATTATATTTAATTCAACAAATATCTGTAAATACTGTGTAAATGTAATGTGAATATTTTTTATAAATATATTGTTTATGTATAAACACGTAAAATTAGTAAATTTTAATATATTTAGTTCTTGCAAATTCCAACCTAATAATATATGGTTACGTAAACATATAAAAATAAATAAAAATAAAACAATTTTCAAATATTATTATTGTTTATTAAATAAAAAAAAAATATTATTATAATCTTAAATTATCAACATACCATTTTTTTAATGCAAATGCTTTATTCAATGTATAGTGTAGTGGATTTAAATCTTTATGAAAAATACAGCATGGTAGTGATTGTCCAGTCAATGAACAAATCCGAGGACATTCAAAGAGTTCCAAGTCGTAGACGGGGGCGTGTGGCATAAACTCAATGATGATCCGTTGTTTCTGAAAACCTTTAACGTAAATTCTGTCGAATTTGATCGATTGGAATATTTTATGTATTTTTTCATACTCCACATCACCGTAATCCGGAGACAAACCGTGTTGCATCCGTTGCAGCCAACTGTTTACACTTCAACTTTTTGCAACTTGTTTTAAAGATGTATTTTTAAATATCCAGTGTTAATTGTACGATGTCTCAGTGTCTACGATAGACATTTCTATAATAAACCACTTGTTGTTGACTCCGAAAACGCACTGCACGTCCAGGACAGCCGATGACATATTTGTAGATTAATTAGTTTTTATAATAATTTGCTGTACCGAACAGATTCACATCTGAACTACCACTGTAACTATTTTTTAATATCTCCCTTATTTATCCATGAATTATGAGAATCGTCAAACCTCACCCACTTGACATATATCTGGTTCCCCTTCTTTCGTACAATTGTTTCAATTAAATAATCATTAGGATAATTTGTTTTAGATATTTCTTCGTTATAAAAACAACCAGATAATGGATCATCGTTATAATCATGTAACTATTCGAACTTTATCGCCAACATGAAATTTTACTTTTGTATTAGTGATTGCACGTTGTTTCAAAGTCACTAGTGAAGGATTTTCTTCTGCCTGCAATGGTGTCATACCGATCGTTCTATGCCTTGTATTGTTGTAATTATCTATCAGCATGGGTAAAATAGATATCCATTTATGTGAACCTCGAGCAGTAAACTCTCTATACATGTTTGTTTTCAGAGTGCGATTAAACCTTTCAACAAAACAGGCTTTTATTGTAGAATAGGTGCTATACTTTTTTATATTAAACTTGGACATTAACGTATCAAATTTTAAATTATAAAATTCTTTTCCGTTATCTACTTGTAGCAGTTTGGGCGACCCATCAGTAAGTATAGTAGACATGGCTTTGGTCACCTCACCACCAGTTTTTGTTTTTAATGGTAAAGCCCAGGCGAACTTTGTAAAACAATCAAGCACACATAGGATATAATTATATCCATTGTTTTCCTTTGAATGTGGTATCATCTCGACCAAGTCTGCCTGCCATAAATCGTTTTTTCCGTACACGTTTACTCTTCGTCTTGTATAATTTTTCCTAGCTGGTCTGTGAAGTTCGAATGCTATGTCACGTTTAGACATTTGGTATTTTCTTTGTTATGCCGGATTCATAGAGTTCTTCAAAAATAGATAATATTTCGTTTGAAACCCCAGTGTTTCCCGCAGATTGAGAGGCTAAAAGAAGTCGTAACCTATCAACCAACTCATTCGGATCATTCCAATATACTAAATTATGTGTTTGTAATTGTACCCCCGTTCCCGAGGAAAAGAGCTTGGTAATAATTTGTGTATACTTTGTGCCACCTTTCTTAATTTTTGACCCGTCCAGTGTCAAATGTGCTGAAGTTTGAATCAGTATTTCTCTATATGTATTTAAATCCTTATCAGTGTATTGCATTGGATATCTTCTTCTTCTTCTTCTTCTGGCTTTTATAACTCTCCAAGAGTTTCCGCCGCCATCACCAAATCACTCCACTTATCACGATCCTGCACAATCTCCCTCCAATCCTGCACTCCAAGATCTTCCAAATCCTTTTCTACAACATCCAACCATCTCTTCCGAGGACGACCCCGTGGCCTTTTTCCTTCTGGTTTCCAATTCAGTACCATTTTGGTTACTGCATCAGAATTCCGCCTCATGACATGTCCTAGCCATTGTATCCTTTGTCTCTTTATGAAACCATTTATTGATACTATTTTTAATTCCTCCTTCATTTCTTGGTTGAACTTCCTACGCCACTGACCCGTCCTTGGGTCTTTAACCGGGCCACATATCTTTCGCCATATTTTGTTTTCAAAAGTCTTTAGTCGTCGTTCTGTAATACTTGTAGTAGTCCATATTTCACAACCATATGTTAGTATCTGTCTTATGATTGATGTATATAGTCTTATTTTTGTTCGTTTTGAAAATAATTTAGATTTAAAAAACTTCAGCAAGGCGAAAAACGCTCTCTCTGCTTTTGTTATTCTCGACCCGATCTCATAGGACCAATCATTTTTATAGTATTAAGTAATGTACCTAGATACTGAAATTGTTCGACTTTTTCATATGGTAACGTCTCTAAAACATCTAAAGATGTTTCCATGTCTAATAGTTCCATTAATTTTGTTTTGTCTGCGTTTATGTGTAGCCCTATTCGTTCTGCTGCGTGTTCTAATGCTTCAGTAGCTTTCACTGTATCATCCAATGTTTCTCCTATGATATTAAGATCATCTGCAAAACCTAACACTTTTATATGATATTCATCCACGTTTATTCCTCTTGCTTCGTTTTGCAAGACTCGTACTGCCTTTTCTAGGGCTATGTTGAATAATAATGGGGATAGTGCGTCCCCCTGTTTTAGTCCCGTTTCAACATTAAACGCTTCTGACGTAGTACTTTCTACTCTGACTTGGTACTTCACTCCTTCCATAGACAGTTTGGTTAGATTTTTTAATTTTTTTGGGAAACCAAATTCTTCCATTATGTTGTACAGGCTATTTCTATGGATGCTGTCATAAGCTTTCCTAAAGTCAACAAACATTTGCCATATGTTTTGGCGATATTCATATTTCTTCTCTATTAAACGCGCTATTACTGATAGCTGCTCTATGGTTGACCTCCCTTTGCGAAAACCACTTTGGGCACTCTCCTAAACATTCTTCTGCATACGGTGTCAAACGGTTTAATAGGATTTTGGAGAAAACTTTGTACACTGAATTTAGAAGAGATATCCCTCTATAGTTGCTACATTCAGTTTTATCACCCTTCTTATGAAGCGGTATAATTATTGCTTCGTTCCAGGTTTCTGGCATTACTTCCTCCGACCATACCCTATGACATATCCTGAAAATGAAGTTATACATATCCTCTCCACCATATTTTATGAGTTCCGATGGAATGCTGTCAGAACCTGGTGCCTTCCAGTTTTTAAGGTTCTTTATTGCTTCCTTGACTTCTTCCTTGGATATTTCTTTCACAAAAGGTTCCGCTTTCTGGTATGTTGCGCTTTCTATCGGGTCTGGAGGTATTGAGCCATTCAACAGGTCAACAAAATATTCTTTCCATCTCATAATTTTCTTTTCCGGCTCCATAAGTATTGTACCGTCACTATCCTTTATTGCTTTCAGGGTTGGGTTGAATGTACTATATTTTTTAATGGTTTTGAAAAAATTTCTTATACTGCCTTGAGATCTATTTTTTTCTGCGTCCTGTAATATTTCATTCACGAAGCTTCTCTTTTCTCTCTGTAATAGTCGCTTACACGTTCTTCTTTCTTTTTCATACTTTTCCCTGCTAGGCTGGTCCCCTGACCTATTATAATTTTCTCTGGCTAAGCGCCGTGCCTCAATTGCTTTGCGACAGACCTCATTGAATCATTTTTTCTTATTCTTTTTGCTTTCAGTTTTTCCTATAGTTTGTTGTGCTACTTCCTTTATAATATTTGTGGCCTGGTTCCATTCTGAATCGATATCTCGCTCTTGGAGGTTTCTAAACTGATTGCTGATTTTAGTTGCATAATTACTCTGAATCTCTATATTCTTTAACGCTTCTAAATTTACACTAAACTGGTTCCTTCTTTTTCCTACACTGTTGTGACCTTGTAGTATTATCTTAAATTTTGATATCAGCAAAAAGTGGTCCGTATCACAATCTGCCCCCCTATAGCTTCTTACATCTACAATACATGACCGGAACCTCCTTTGAATAAGTACATGATCTATTTGATTAATTGTTTTACCATCCGGCGATCTCCATGTTCCCTTGTGGATCTTCTTATGGGGGAATGTTGTGCTACTTATTACCATATTCTTTGAGGATGCGAATGATATGATTCTCAAACCATTGTCGTTGCTAATGTTGTGCATGCTTTATTTTCCTCTTCCTATTGTTGGATGAAATTGATTCTCTTTGCCACACATGGCATTTAGATCACCTAAAATTATCTTAATTACATTTCCTGGTGTTTCGTCATAAATTCTGTCAAGATCTTCGTAGAAGGCGTCTTTATCGTTGCTGGTGCTTACTTCAGTCGGTGCATGTACGCATATTAACACCATGTGTATTGGGGTTGTATCAATTCTCAAAACTGAAATCCTTTCCGACACAGGATTAAATTCTCTAACATATGATTCTAGAGTTTATGAATAGCAAAACCAGTTCCAAAAAAGTGTCTATCTTCCAATCCCGAAAAGAAGATTACATACTCCCCAACTTTCAATTGTCCTGTACCCGTCCAGCGAATTTCCTGTAGTGCTGCAATTTTTATTTCGTAAGTATCTAGTACATCTACGAGATTCTTGCAAGAACCAGTACGAAAAAGGCTTGTATATATCGAAAATATTAGGTTTTGAAAATAAAGTTTACTCTGCTAAGACAATGCACGAATCTGAACGGATAGTGAACATAATGAAAGTCAACTGTATAAAAATCGATTGCAATCTAATTTCTGGTTCATTCAGTAATGGTATACCGAGCCAGACTATACACGAGTTTTTCCCTTCTTCACCACCTGGACATTAAATCATCGAAGTTCCGAAACATTTAGTTTTCTATCTGCTCAATTCTTCGTCTATAAGTAAAGTAAATATTGTACTAAAAGATCAAGATAATAATTTAATCAATTTAAGAGGGGAGCCAATCACAGTTCGTATACAAATTAAACATAAAGATGGCTATTAAGTTCAATAGCTATATAAAAAGAAATGTGATCAAGAGTCCCTACAGTACTACTACCAAGGTTAATACGTCTAGACGTCCGCCGTTCAAACTAACCAAACAAAATCTATCGTTTCTACGGTCTTTAAAAGTTCTATAGTCATGGATGATATGTATTTGGACGTAGCCGGTGGATATGACGATGAATAACTCAAATGCAGTACCACTCTTTCCTGCCTTATTCTTCAACAGCTTTATCCAATAACGATGAAATTAGAATATATATTCAAAATATTGACGCATATACTCTGCCCTGTGAGAGTTATATTTATATTGAAGGTAAATTGAATTTACCAACAATGGTTTAGCGTTTTTGCTTTCCGAAATCCGATATGAAATTAACGGTGTGGAAATACAAAAATTAAAATCTCCTGGAATATCTTCGAGTCTTAAAGGTTTCTGCTCACACACTCCCAATGAATTGAACAATCTACAGAATGCTGCTTGTAATGTAGATATGGATGCCAGTGAAAATAAACATTTCATGCTGAATAACAAATTTGCTGGTTGTATCCCACTCAAACACTTGTTTGGATTTTGTGAAGATTATAAAAAAATACTACTCAACTGCAACCAACACATCATTTTAAACAAATCATCTACAGACTTTGATGCGTTGTTCGTTTCGGGAACCATAGCAAATGAAAGTAAAGAAAAACTTAAAAAAGTAGCGATTGAACTGAGTAAAATTATTTGGAAGATGCATGTTATTAGGGTGAGTGACAAAGAAAAAATTAAACTGTTAAAAGTATTGGACTCTCGTAAACCACTAGCATGTGCGTTCAGAAATTGGGACTTGTGCGAATATCCAGTTCTCCCTCAGAACACTTCTCATTCATGGACTGTTAAATCAAGCAGTTTGCTTGAGAAACCTAGATTTGCATTAATTGGATTTCAAACAGATCGAAAAAATAATTTATTTAATCCGTCGGGACGGTTCGATCACTGCTACCTGAAAAACCTTAAAGTACACCTGAACTCTGAAGTATATCCATATGAAGATTTCCGTGCAGATTTCACAAACAACGTTACAGCTATATTGTACAAAGCGTATGCCGAATTCCAAAAATCATACTACGAGAGAGAATATAGCGAGCCTCTACTTGTAAAAAACATTTTCCAACAATTTGTACCAATCATAGTCGTGGATTTATCACGACAGAACGACAATGTAAAATCATCGACTGTAGATTTACGCATCGAGTTCGAAACAGACAAAGCTATTCCAGCAAAGACTGCAGCATATTGCCTCTTCTTACACGATCAAATTATAACTTATAGTCCATTTAATGGTGATGTAAGGAAATTGTAAATAATTTGTAAAATAAAAATACTTTTTTAAATATCACGTTGTTTTTTTTATTATATATATATATATATAAGTAATAAAATATCATATTACAATAGAATATTACATTAATGGTTCGAGTTTTTAAATAATTGACAAAAATATGAAAATTACATAATAAAATATTATATTATTGGTCCTCGTTTTTAAATATAAATTATTGACAGCAATATAAAAATTACATAATAAAATATTATATTATTGGTCCGCGTTTTTAAATATAAATTATTGACAGCAATATAAAAATTACATATTACAATAAAATATCACATTCTTAACGAAAAATTAATGTGCGGGCTGCTTTACGTGCTACGAATGCCCTCGTCCTCGGTCTGGTTACTTCAGACTAAAAAAAATTTGTTTTCTTTAGTATAAAATAATATGTAAAAATAAAATCGTATTACCTCAATTTCGATCGAAGAAGCTAACCATCCCCTTGTCAATTGTTTGACTGCTTTAATTTTCAAATCTGCTACGAAACAACGACCAGTTAACTTAAGTTGTTTTTTCAATTCTTTGACATCGATGCGGTATAAATAATCTTCAGCTTCGCTTATTTTTGTGTCTTTGGGTAACGGCATTTCCTTTCCAAGATTCATTGAAATATTACAGGACTGACCTAATACACTAGGCCGTGTATATATATTTTTCATCTGAATAACTTCTTCCACGGCATCACTTAATTGTAAGATCCTTGAAACATTTGCTTTAGTTAGTTGTACATGTTGATCCTGTTGCAAACACTTTATCGAGAGAACGTTGCCACCGTTGTATTTAACAATTCCGGCCAATATAAGCTCCTTCAGCATTAAATGAGATGGTTGTGGAAAATTTATGTAGTTAAAAGCTATATGAATTAGTAATTTATAGACTTCAACACTCATTTTAACACACTGCGAGTTACTTGAGATGCATATAACGCAATTTAACAAAAAATCAGGATCTAATCCTATATTTATAAAAATATTGCTATCAATAAAGAATGTAGTACAATCGATCAGATTATTAGCCATTTTTGTTAGATACGTTCAAAACTGTCTCGAAATAAGTTAGCAATCGGGTACGCACACGACTCGTTTGACGGAAGACTCACGGCTGTATTGAAATAAGTGTGTGTCGCCCTTTTAAACAGTGCCACCGAGCGCTCGTTAAGAGTAGGGGTGAATCCCCACTCTACAGTAACTTACATGGTGGGGATATGTATAAGAAAATAAAACAAGTTATGATATATAGAATATTTATTATCATTATTAATAAAATAATGGTGTAATACACTGAGTAGATGGTTTTGCTGACTTGCAGTTGAACAGAGATGGTGGGGATGATGGCCGTCTGTTAAAATATGTCGGACCGTCGTTCTCATCAAAAGCCTATAAAAAATGAATGATTATTCATCATACAAATTATATTTTTATGTATATTACCTTTGGTTTAGTTTTCCGAAGTTTAGCAGGATTCATCGAATGGGTTATTTCCTTGAACCTTCTCTCCTCGTCAGCTGCCTAAAAATTAAATTACATTTAATACTGAAATATTTTATTATTTTAATTTTAAATTACTCGTGACTGTGATAAATCGTCTTCGTTATATGTCATTAATGGAGACATACTTGAGTATCTTGGTGGAGATGGTTGCAGCATTTCCACGTCAGAGGTCTCCGTATAATACTAAAATAAATAGAAAATAAGTAATCATAATAAAAAAAAGTTATATATTATTACCTTTAAATAGTTTGCTTCAGGCCTCCTCTGGGTAGGCGGGAGAAATTTTATCAGTTCATCATCATCATTTTCATCCACAGCCTAATTGAATGCATATGTTAAATAATTTTTTTTAATATATATATATATATTCTTACTTTTGGCAAATTCTTCGTCATCCAATTGATAGCTAGCTGTTCAGTTGCGAATAATTTGATCTGGCTTATAAAACTATGTTTGTGCTTCGGTACATGCATTGCGATTAACTCGATATCAATTCCTTTGATTATTGTTTTTACTTCTTCCAGTGTCACAGATTTATCAATATTAAAATCAGTATTAAAGTATTCGGATATTTGTTCGAGTTGATTTAAAATAATAGGTTTTACGATATCGTTTTTTCTTGAAATTGTTTCAAAAATGGCGCACTCTAAATCTTGAATTGTCATAAGATCTCTACGACTTGGTGGTGGTGTGGTGGTGGTGTGGCGGTGGCAGTGGCGGTGGCGGTCCTAGGATTGGCAAATTTATACTACTAATTACAAAATTTAGATAACGGAAGCACAAAGCAATTGATACAATTTGAATTAAATAATAATAATATATAATTATATAATTATAATAAATATATATAATTACTTTTATAAATGGTTTTATAAATGGTTTTATAAAAGTTAAAAACGGTTGTATTTATTTATCAAACAAATATTATAATAATAATAATTATAAAATAGGTCTGGATTCAATATTTATTAAAGGGTTAAATTGGTTTAATATTGAAACAGATTGTAAAATACAAATTAATGATAAATGTATAGAAATAAAAAAAGGAGAATATAGTATTAATGAATTAAATAAACAATTTCAACCTTTAGTGTTAAATTATGTTAATAAAAAAATTGAAATAAAATCTCCTTGTTATTATAATTTAGATGAAAATTTAAAAAATTATTTAGGCTTTCAATACATAACAATTGATTTTTTATTAACTATTAATAAATCAGCAATGTATGTTCCTACTTCCAATGATCAATATATAAAT